CTGCTTTTTCGGCGCTTTCAGGAATTTTATGTGTTATGAAGCTGTTTTTTTTACAGATTTTCAAAAAACTTCGTTCACGCATAATAATTTTTTAACCATCCTTATAAAAAGATGCATTCGTCTCAAACAGACCCTTTTAAAAGAGACGATCATAAATTTAAAAGTGCTTGACAACTAATTATGTTGGTGAGAAATACTTTTCAAGGGATAATACATCCATTAAATTACTTATTCATGGGAGAACAAAAAATTCTCTTGACATGCAATAACGCGGCTTTATTTGGAATAGTTTTTCGACATCTTTTGTATTAGAAAAAAAAAGTCAATAAAAAATAATGTACGTTTGGATGACAGCATTTACTGTTTGAACAGTATATTAAAATTGTGGTTGAAAAAAAAACTTTGAAAAGTATAAATAGAAAACTAAAAGCGGTCACAAATGAAACTTTATATTTTATTTGGGACGGTTTTCTTACTGCTTTCTTAAAGCGACATTCAAGCACAAAAAATTTAATTTTTGTTCTAAAAGACTGCTTTAAGAATTAGTAATAAAGTTATCCCAAACAAAACCTTAATAGTCAATTTACGCAGTTTAGCTCAAAGAAAGTAAAGTTCTATAAAAACTAGTGACAATAATCTTTTTTGGGATCTTTTAGAGATTCTATAAAAGCTAGTTGCAATTAGGGGTGCAACCGAGTCAAGCAGGCTCGTGCTCGACTCGTTAATGGGCTCGACGAGCCGAGCTTATCAAGCTCGCGAGTCGAGCTCGAACACGAGTTTGAGCTCGAACGTTAAAAGTGCTCGAGCTCGGACATTGGGCTGATCGACTCGTTGGCTGAGCTCGGATTTTGAGCTCGAGCTCGGGTTTTGATTGTCAGGCTCGACTCGAACACCCCCTGACTCGAGCTCGACTCGACTCGTTTGCACCCCTAGTTGCAATAGCTTAAGATAACTTTTCAGCAACTATATAATCATATACATAATTTCAATCACATGCATGATCGGCTAATCATATTTACAATCGATCGATTGATTATATGTACAATACACATATAAGTGGTATGACAATATTTTGAAAAATATTTTAATAAATTTAAACAAAATTAGTATTTTAACTTATGTAAGAGACTATGTTATTATAAGCTTTAAAATTAGATATTTACAGAAATTTATAATTTTGAATTATTTGTTTTGCAATTTAGATTTTTAAATTAGTATTTGAAGCATTTTCTTGCTTAACAAAGTGGTAGAAAATATGACTTAAATCCCTAAGAAAGAACCAATAAAACTATCAAAATTAGCAACATTTCCCATTCATGTTTCAATTTCCAAATACAACAAATTAAAAAAAAAAACTTAGAAACCTCAAAAAAAATTTATGATAAACCAACATATAATATGATTATTAACTAACAAAATATCATTTGATTTGTAATATTTTTCAAAGCTACGAACTCATTATCTCTATAATGAAATCAAAACTCCCATTCAACATATTAAGATAGGCTATGCGTATATTTGTAATATATTTTATGAAAAATATAATGATAATTTTATTAATTTGATGATTATATTCTTCATAAAAGAAGCAAATTTTTATTTTTTTTAAATATTAATGATCAAACTATAAAGTTAAATTAAATTAACCATTTTCAAAGATTACCTTACCTTATAATCATCTAAAACTACTCCAAATGGGTGGATGAAAACCTTCCATCTATCTTTTTAGAACCAATGGCTCAAATTCTCTTAGGTCAAGTGGAAAATTAGATCAATATCCTAAAAAAAACCACTGAATCATTGATTTGGTTTCATTCATTCTGATAACTATGGCTATGATTCATTTTTATTGATTTTTTTTTTTTTTAATTTGGAAGGAGGCCATTGGCTATGATACCAATCACACCACCCACCATGGTTCATGGGCCACCTTCCAACTTTAGAGTGACATTTTTATGATTATTTTGTTTGTTTGACCTAACTAATGAAATATGCATAAATTATGGAGTTCCTTTAAGAGAAAGATGCTTTTCATGCTTTTCTTACTTTTCATGGATTGCAAAGCTTTAATGAGATTGTATTTAACTTAAATTATAATTATATGAACTCTTTTTACTCATAAATTCAATCATATTTATACAATTTAGGCTTCATTTGAGACGGCTTTCTTACTGCTTTCTAAAATAATTTTTTAAAACAAAAACTTTTAGTTCAAGAAATTTTTTAGTAGAATTCTACTTTAAAAAGCAGTAAGAAAGACATCCCAAACTAAAACCTCGTTTGGGACAGTTTTTTTTACTGCTTTTTAAAGAAGCTTTCAAGTACAAAAATTTTAACTTTAGTACTAAAAAGCGGTTTTAAGAAGCAGTAAGAAAATCATCCCAAACGAACCCTAAATCTTATACATACATACAAATATATATAAAAGGAATCAACTAATAAGTTATTACTTCTGAATACATAAAAAATATACATATTATAATATGAACTCTAATGAAAATTTCTTTCAATGGATCTTGTTTGCAGAATTAGGGTTTAGTGTTCCAATCATTTTTAATCCTTCTGAAATTGTAAGTTATCTTAATTAAAAAAATTGTCTATTGATTATATTCTATTAGATTTTGATGATGGTGTTAGTTATTGCCATCATTAAACCACTTAATCAATCATAAATTAAATAAAAATAAGAGAACAGTGAGCTAATATTATAATTAATGATTCCTTTAATAAAGAAGTACAAAGCTGACTTGGAGTCTTGTAAGCATTGAATGTGAAATGAAGGTTTAATCAGCTAAAAAGAGAGATTTGTTGGATCCAGAGAGGCAAGAGTAAAGCTAGATTTGTCTAAGAATCTTAATAGAGAAGCAATGTAGGGGACCAGAGACTTATGTAATTTAATTTCTAAGGGCTATATGAATATGCATTAATTTCATCTTAGGCTTAGTTTTAGATAGTTTTCTTACTTTTTTTTTTTTCAAAGCTATTTTTTAGTAAAAATATTTTTTGAAAAAAAATTTATGTACTAAAAAACTGCTTAAAAAATCGTTTGAGACGATTTTTTTAATGCTTTGTAAAACAATTTATTAATACAAAAATCCATTGATAGCTGAAAAAAATAGTGGTCTAAACTCTAAAGCTGTCCCAAACAAAACTTTAATCTCTCCTGAACTTTAATTTACAATTAATGAAATGAACCCCCTATATCTAAAACTATTTTTTTATTTTTTTTTTTAATAAATAAATTAACCTCATGATAATACTTGGTTGAAGGTTAGTTCATGAAGTTTAATAGAATCCATGTTCAAAAATATACAAGTAACATAATAAATTCAAAATATATTGTCAATGATTTATTTATTTTCTTAAAATATCATTTTAGTAGTATCCTGCCTGAAAGATTTCACTAGCTTAGAGATTGTTTGAGAAAAATTTCCTCTCAATGTAATATCAGCATTTTGAAAACATGTCATATTAACTCAAGAATCTTTTCACTCATTTATATTATTAGAGATGCTCATTAAATATCATTATTTCAATCATGCTTCAGTAATAATGTTTAAAATAAATATATAGATGCATCATCTCTCGTAGCCTTTTATTATCATCATATAGATCATATAGATTTTATTCAGAACAAACTTTGTATAAGTCTACCAACTGCACCCCCATAGAGGAGCCACTTGCAGGAGTAACTAATCCCTCGGCGGGCCTATCGGCAACCAGCTCCACAATTTTCGGACAACGCATTTATTTTCTCCCCACTTAAGGAGTAGCACCGTTTGAGAAAGGAATCGAACATTGGTTGGGGGTACCCAACCAGGCTCGTCCACCAACCAAGCTAAGCCCGATGGAGTTAAATCTTCCATTTGGCTTTAGTAACTTCATGATGGGACAAATTCAACATGAGATTCTTTAATGCCTTAATTTTTGCTGAATCTTCTCTTCCCTGAGGATGATTGTCTGTTGGGGACTCTAATGAGAAGTTTTAAGGACAAAGATTAGGATGAAAATAAGGGCATTATGGAGGAAGAGAGAAAGGTCATGAGGATAAAAAAGGAGGTTGTCAAAATTGAGATGTCTAAATATTTTTAAATGTCTTCAATTAGTATTTCAAAATACATGGTTACTTCCTAAGATATAATTATGCTTCTATATCATCTTATTTCCTACTCTTCCTCTCTAATCTCCTTCCCTTCATCATAGCCTTCTTTAATCTCCAACTCATTATAATTGAAAGAATTATTAAGGCAAAAAAGCAGACTCAATTAAGGTTAAGGCATTGAAGAATCAATGGCCCTAAGACTTTATTTGAGGCAACTTTCTTAATGCTTGATTTTTGAAATCGCAAACATAGCTTTATTTAACCGCTAGTTTTTATTGCTTTCAAAATATTTGTGCTGGAAAATTACTTTTTATAACTTAAAAAAAAATTATTTTGTTCATAATAATTTTACAATCATTTCTACAAAAAATTACAATCCTCCTATATGGCCTATTTAAGTTCTATTTTCATGAGATCAATAGACAAATCAACAACATCCATACCTCCACAATACATGGAAATATTAGAGTTCATTGTCAAGCTTAAAATAAGCATGAAATACAAGTCATTTTCCAATTTTAGCTATAAATGAGCCAATAAATACTTCTCCAATCAAGTTAAGCAAATATTTACCTAATCATTACATGACAACAACATTATGTGACCAAGCTTATTTTCAATTTTCCAATCACTAATGCATTCATATTAAAGACTGTAAAGCATAGTACTATAATTTTTTCACAATGTGACCATATTATAGACTACTAAATTAATATGCATGGCAAAATTGTAAATAAAAAATTGCAATTTACTCTAAACCACCTAAACAAGAGACTCCAACAGAAACCTTAGATCATCACTTCTCACAAAAGGGTAACCTCAAATGCATGATTTAATGAAACTAAGAAGAAAACAATCTCAATAACTCTCCTAATCATATAAAACAAGATAGACCTACTTAAACGGCCAATACATTCTAAATGAAAACCAAAATAATTGAAAATTGTCATAAAGAAAGCATCAATTGAACATAGACAAAGCATGAGAGAAATACCTATACGGTTCTGTTTCAGCAAATACTCAAAGGCAGAAGAAAGAAAAACAGCTTGGGTCACTTAGTTTCTTCTTTTGCTACAAAAAAAAAGGTAACAGACCTACAATCAGGCAGTGGCAGCTGAAGCAGCAGCAGCAAGGCGCTTTCTGGCCTCCTCAATGATGGATAGCTTAATGCCTTTGCCCTTCGGAAGGGAAATCCATGGCTTTGTGCCCTTTCCAATGGTGAAGACATTGCCAAGGCGAGTAGCAAACTCGTGGCCTGAAGCATCCTGGACGTGAATTGTCTCAAAGGTACCCTTATGCTTCTCCCTGCTCTTGATCACTCCAACCCGACCTCTGTTCCTTCCACCAGTAACCATTACGACATTGCCGACATCAAATTTGATGAAGTCGACTATCTTATTAGCCTCGAGGTCGAGCTTAATGGTGTCGTTGGCCTTGATGAGAGGATCTGGATAGCGAATTGTTCGTCCATCATAGGTGTTCAGATATGGAATTCCTTTCTGTCCAAATTGGACAGAACGGACCTTGCAGAGCTTGAACTACAGAAATAGTCAGGAACAATTAGCATATATGATCAATAATCAGCTTTATGAATCTCAATCTTTTGGCACATCAGTAAATCTGTAAAAACCAGTTCAGAATAAGCACTAGCATTAGACAGATAATCAAAATCAAAATAATAATCATCATCATTTCACCTAGACTAGTTTTTTTCAGTTTTTCAATCTTCTGACATGTGTTCCTGTCTAGGGCTTGCATTTTAAGCAAAGATGGATTAAAAAAATAAGTTACACAGACACTCGGAAGAAACACACTTAATACACGACAATTCTTGAAAGGCTCAAACAAAAAGTTGGACGAGTAATATTTATACATGATATAAAATAAAAACTTCGCTTTACAATCATCAGACATCTAAATCAAATATAATAAATAACAATAACAACAACAACATCAAGCCTTTGTCCTACTACGTGGGATCGGCTACATGAATCCTTTTTTGTCATTGTGTCCTGATAAAAGTCAAATTCTCATCTAAATCAAATATAATAAATAACAAGAATAAATTACAAATCTAAGAATCACAATTCAAAAATCATAAAAAATACCCCCATTGCAAAAGGCTATCGTTCAGTGTGATGGTTAAATAAATGGGGATATTATTAGTAAAATTCAAATTTGGATGGTTGAAGTGAAGGAATGCATCAGGCTTAAGTGATATAAAAGTCCCTCTCAAACTTAAGCGATAATTCCATAAGATGGTGGTGAGACATGCAATGCTTTATGGTGCAGAATATTGGCCACTAGATGAGCAGCATAATATTAAGTTAAGTGTTGCAGAGTGACAGGATACGATACGACAATATACATGAAAAGATTGGAGTAGCTCTAGCAAAAGATAAGATTAGAGAGAGTCGCCTTAGATGGTTTGGTCACATAAAAGCGACGGCCTACCGATAACCAAATAGGAGATTAGATGTGTTAGATTTGGCTGATGTTATGTTAAGAAAGATAGAGGCAGACCTAAAAAAAAAAAACTTGGTTAAAAAAAATTAGAAATGACATTTCTTTATTAGACTTAAATGAGAATTTGACTCTTAACATGACACAATAGAGAAAAAGGATTCATGTAGCCAACCCCACATAGTGGAATAAAAGATTGATGTTGTTGTAGTTTATTGGAAAAAGCATTAAAACCCAAAAAATTGAAATATATACCACTATAGAGTGACTAGGTGGCATTGACTTTTGCCATCCAAAGAGAACTTGGCATTCCAAATCCCCAAGAAATGAATTTTGTTTTTATTTTTTATTTTATTTTTTTTTTGGGGGG